GCCCCTTGTCCTCCTCCAAACCACTGCCCTGGCTGTGCCCCCTGCCTGGACTCAAGAATCCAAGGCCTCATTCAAGCCCCATGGGCTCCTGCGGCTTTTCCCAGTGACTTCAGCTCAGATCCATTCTCTGTACTCATATACACCTTGCTCTTAAGCCGGTGGCTGAGCACTTGCCCGTGCTTTCATTTATTCCTTTGCCAGGTACCTTGCAGAACCACCCAGGTGAAGAAAACGGACCCAAAAATCCCCGCTGGGTCTGGTTTCCTTGTTCTTCCCTCTGAGATTTTGCCGCCCCTGTGTGATGCATCACGTGAGGTGCGGTGGGGCTTGGTGCAGGATCTCTGCCCGCCTGGCACCTGTAGCTGTAAGAAGGGATGGTATGTATTGTTGGCTACAACACAACAGGCCTCTATGCTTGTTCAGTTGAGAATGCTAGCCATCCGATTCCCTCTCTTCGATCACTCCTCGCTGCCCAATGGAGATATGTCCTTTCCCTTTCCTTCCCTGTGAAAATTGCCCTGGTGGTTCATAGGTGTGGGGTTTCACTAGGCTGAAAAACAAGGAGGAAGGGCTCTTGTCCCAGATTCCACCACCCTCCTTTCCCTCCCGTACAATTTTGCATTAAGATATGGATGGTGTTCATGCCTTTCAAGAGCTGGACAGATGCTGGCTCTTGGTATTTTGTGCAGAGGATGGGGAGGGAGGGGTGCTGCATTTTTCACCTTACCCCATTGCCTGGGGCCACACCGCCCTGATGCTAGTACTGATCATCGGTTCCTCGGGGTTTTGAAAGTGGTGGAAACCTGTTCATCTGGGCCAGATTGTTTTTCTCTTTTCCCGTCAGAACGAACACTGCTATATCCTTTGTGATAATCAAATTCAACTGATTAATGATGCGCAAATTTCCTGTGTAGGAAAGAAGCCATCTTGATCCTGGGTGTGACTGTCATCATTGCTGTCACACCCAGGTGCAGAGGGAGACAGCTTCCCCTCCACACACTCTGACCCCACAGCAACCTCCTCACCTGCTTCAGTTCTACTCTGTCCCTGATGTCCCTGAGACCGGATTGTGTTTGTTGTTTGTTTGTTTGTTTGTTTTTTACTGTTGCTTCTTTGGTTGGTTATTGACTATGTCATCGTTGAAGTCCCCAAACTTGTCCTGATTTGTCTCCACTTCTCAGGCATGTTGAGAAGAATAAGAGGGCCAGTGACTAAAAGGGAGATGGAGGGAAGGAAAGTGGCTAAGGAGGTGGAAGAATAAAGGAAGAAAGGATGTGATTCAAAGGAGGGAAGGATAAAGAAAGAGGAAGAGGCAGTTAAATCTGGGGATGTGGGATAGTACACTTCTACTTTTTGACCTGAAGAGGAGGTATATTTTGAAGAAGTTCACACTTGTTCCCTTTACTTGCCCAGGAACCCATGGTGTGGCTTCATTGTGTAATTTGAAAGGGTGAAATGCAAGGTTATTAATGACCAGAATGGCCAACACACTTATAGCCAGGTGTGTCCTAGAGACCTTCAAGGAAATTGGCACTAAAGCTGGTGGAGGCTGGATGCATTTTTGCTTGCTCTCCCCTGCTCAAGGCCATTTGGTAAGGCATGCAAGCCCTTCCAGATGCCCCTCAGGGAATTTCCTGAGTTCTAGAGAATCTCCTGCATGGGATTGTGCAAGAAGGAGGTAACCCAAGTGAGCTAGGGCTCTCCCAAGGATTGGCACCCCATGCTCCAGTGCTCTGCTGTACCACTGACAAGGCCAGTTCAGGCTGTTTGATTTGGTGGAAACATAGGGACCTTGGCCAATTTCCTGATAGCAGGCCTAGCCGCTAATCAGTTGACTGTGAACAAATTTCCTCAGCAATAAAATGGAAATAGTCGCCCCGCCTCGGGTTTCTGATGAGTATTCAATGAGGTAATATATGTCATATGTAGCTCATGTTGTACATGCCTGAAATAAGGTAGAGCTTATTCAGCCTTCAACCACCCTTCCTGACCCTCCCACTACTCTGCCCACCCCCCAACCCCGGTTTCATGCTACTCTTCTAAGTTGGAGATAGTGATACCTGGAAATGAAAGAGAAAGGAGGAAAGTATGTATTAACAGAAACCATACCTCCCTCCAGGTTAAGCATTAAAATATTTATTGCTTGTTTCATTGAACTGTGTGAAGAAATAGGAGATTTAAAAGAAAACAAATCCTTTCTCATTTAGGAGGAGAAATGGAGTTCTAGTAGTTAAAAGAGACCCTCAAGATAAAAGAGACCACAATTGTTCAAAATCAGCCACTGAAATTTGGAAAAAGCAAATCACATTGTCTGTCCTCTGGTATACGATTAGGACAGAAAGCTTCTGGTCGGGTCAGGGAATGGGCAGGTTTTAATGACATGAGGAAGACAATAAGCTGCCTATTATGTGAAAGGGAGGCAGCAGGACCTGGGCTTGTGCCCTTGTCACCTTCTGTATGAAGCCAGGAGGGTGGAGCTTGATGACATCTCCTAACAACACCCACATGCACATCTCTGTCATCCTTAAATCACTGAGTCTTGGACTTCAGGGTCTCCTCGTGCCGGTCCACAAGGGAAAAAACCCACTCCATGGTTTTCTGCTTGGCTTCCTCCCAGCTGTAGAGTGGCTTATATGCCAGATCTCGCTGAGCCTTCTTGTAAGAGAAGGTGAACACACTATTTGACAATGTCACTCTGTGATGGTTGAAGGGCGGTCGATAGGTGCAAACTGGCCTGAGCAGGAGACTCCGGCAGGAAGCCAATCCAGTACATCAGGGATAAAGGAAGGCTCCATCTGGAATCAAGGCAGAGGCCAAACTCTTTGCTCAGGATGTAATTAAGGTTATCATAGCTTTGGTGAGGTGTGTCATCTGAGATGTAGTAGAACTGCCCTCGGACACTTAGGGCCTTCTTGGGGTCCCGCAGGGCCCTCAAGGCCAGAATGTGGGCCCAGGCCACGTCGCCTACATAGACTGGGTTGACAGTGGAGAACTTGCCAACACTTGACAGGGTCCCATTGTTGTTCAGGGCCTCATTTACATTGACAGTAAGAAATGGGTTTCCTTCTCCATCGATACACATGGGTCTTAAGGCACAAGTGTAAAAGGTATCACCATTTTTCAGAGTCCACCCATTAGCTGCCAGCACAGCCTTCTCAGCGAGCTTTTTGCTGTATGGATATGGAGCGGACCATGTGTTTTCCAGAGAGTCTTGTGTTTCTCTCTTACAAGAAGGCTCAGCGAGATCTGGCGTATGAGCCGCTCTACAGCTGGGAGGAAGCCAAGCAGAAAACCGTGGAGTGGGTTGGTTCCCTTATGGACCGGCACAAGGAGACCCTGAAGTCCAAGACTCAGTGATTTAAGGATGACAGAGATGTGCATGTGGGTGTTGTTAGGAGATGTCATCAAGCTCCACCCTCCTGGCATTCTTGATGATTTCCATGTAGGAGTTGGGCCCGGCTACCTCTAGGGCACTGGGGTAGATGAAGACTGGCACACTAGCTTGGACACAGGCCTCCAACAGGAGCTGAGTACCTGCCCACAAAGAGCATGCTTTCAGTGTCAGGAAATATCCCTAAGGGGGGCCAACCACGTACACAGATCCATGTGCCCCACTCCTCACTCCCAAGTGCAGTGGTTGTAACAGACTCGGGATACATTCTTCTGTGGCTCTGACTAACACCGGGCCATGCTACAACCACAGGAAAAACACAAAGATGAAAAGAAACTGACATGTGGGTTCTGGAGAGCAAGAACTTTTAGACTTTTGGGTTTCACGTATGTGTCTGTGAGTGTGTGTTTGTGTGTGTGTGTACCTTAATTTTGGAAAATGACCTCAGGTTATCACTTTTTGTTTTGTCACGTAGACATTGAAACATTAGGATTTTTCATCAATACCATTAAAGACAGATCATTTAAAATCTAAAAATACTCTGAGTGTATGGATAGTCCCAGTTCTTAGGCACAAAAGGGTAGTGGAAGAATTCACATGACACACACACAAATACATAGTATGCAGGCAATATACACTCTTCAATATACATGAAATTGTTCATGTTTTTCTCATTTTGTTGAGTACTAATAAAACTTTGTCACAAGGACCATCTCTGGACATTGAGCAAACCGTGGGTTGTGGGAACATGCTGGAGACCCACACTCTTTTCCTGACTGTGTGTTCCCTGGGAAAGGGGCTCCCAATTTAAAGTCTCTGTGCAATTTGAATTTCTGGAGAGACAGTCTCAGGTTTTTACAAATTAATCCAATGAGGGAGAAAATTTGGAGTTAGTTGGCCTTCAAGGGGGAATTGATCAACATTGTGAAGTATTTTCTAAGCCTGGGAGTGATAATGGTTTTCGGAAACAGATGTCTCTAACTGTCTTTCCATCTAGAAGACATCTAAGAGATGTCTTCCCCTGTCATTTCATATCCCCTGTTGTACGGAGCTGTGGAGAGCAGGAATTAAAATTAAAAACTGGTTACTCTTAGCATCCTCCTTTCACTGTAGAGGTACTTAGAGGTATAGGTAAGCAGCAACTGGAAAGGATTTTTGTTTGTTTGTTTGTTTTTGTTTTTTGAGATGACACTGGCGACTCAAAAGTAATCAGTTGCTTTAGAAAAGGAGTTTGAGGCTGGGTGCGGTGGCTCATGCCTGTAATCCCAGCACTTTGGGAGGCGGAGGTGGGTGGATCACCTGAGGTCAGGAATTCAAGACCAGCCTGGCCAACACGGTGAAACCCCATCTTTACTAAAAATACAAAAAAAAAAAAAAAAAATTTGGGTGGGGGGGGGGGCATGGAAAGCCCAGCTACCAATCTTAAGCACATTGGGAAGCTGAGGCGGGGGAGGCACTTGGACCTGGGAGGTGAAGGTTGCGGTGAGCCGAGATGATACAAATGCACCCCAGCCCGGCCGGGGGGAAAAAAAGGAAACCTTGTAAAAAAAAAAAAAAAAGAAAAAGAAAAAAAAGAAAAGGCGTTTGAGTAGCCTGAATGTGGAGGGCCAGGCCGGGGGTTGGGGTGCTGTGGTGCTGAAGAGGCTCTGGAGATCAGAGAGTGAGAGTGCATTAGAAGATTCCTTAAGGAAATGTGTCTGAATTTAAAGTAGGTTGGAAAGTGACAATTCAGAAAGGCCACCAAGCATTTAAGGGATGAGGATTGAATGAGGGTGCACTTTGGGCACATGGCTGGAAACAGCAATGTAATAGCAGACCCTGTGGTGAGCTGAACAGATTGCATTCTGGTACACTGGGAAACTCTTATTGTTAAAAAAATATTGTGGGAAGGTGTGTGCTAGATAATTCTGTCCTGACAGACCTCTGTGAACCAGCTTTGCTAGTTCTCTTGAGAGGACTTCTTCTTGGAGGTGAGCAGGAGGACTCTGAATGTTCTCATCAGCCTGCACACAAGGTTCAAAATGATGACTATGGTAACACCTGGAAGGTCTGATTCTGGGCTGGGGAGCCAAGGGGTAACTGGATTTCAAGAGTCTGAAGTCAGAGATTAATTGACTTTTGACTGGGGCCACATTAGAAAGAGCTTTCACAGCCTTTGGAGTCACACAGGAGTGAGTTTAAAGTCGAACTCTCCTACTTACTTACTTACTTACCTGTGGGACTTTGGACAAGTTGCTTGTCTTTGCTCAGTCCTAGTATTCTCATCTATGAAACTGAAAATAGCAGCCTTGAGTTCCCCCAGTTGGTAGTGATCAGCAAAGGCACTTGGCCCAGAGCACAGCAGGTGTTCAGTGGAGAGACTTCTCTTTCCTTCCTGCCCTTCTTTCTGATCCTCATTTCCCCACCTTGGTCCATCTCCTCCCCAGGCCACCGTACCGTTCACATTGACGTTCATGATGGACTCTCTGTGAGGGACACCGAAGACATCAATGATACAGGAAGTGTGGATGACGACCGAGACGTCCTGGCAGGCTCTCTTCAGAAATGGCTCATCCAGAATGTCTCCTTCCAGCACTGTCAGCTTGGTCTTGTTCTGGAGCTCTGTGTGAACACAGGTCAGGTCATAGGAATGATTTCTGGATCTGGTTGGGAAGTTTTCTGATAAAGGTGATGTTACACAGGTGTTCGAGGATGGTTAGAGTGGGGTGTTAGCGTGGAGGGTGTACATTCCACGGAAAGAAGAAGCAAACAAAGACACAGAAATCAGCATTGTAGCAGTTTACTAGGAAAGCAAACATCTGTTTCTACCATGTCTCATTTCAGAAAAGTAATCTGAGCAGTGACCTGTCAGGTGTGCCTAGAATATAAGCATTGCCAGAGTCATGAGAGACTCACCAAATTTCTTAAGGAGCCTAGGGTGATTGTGGAGAGAGTTGGGTATAAAAGGGAAAAAGTGAATTCAATTTTGTAGGTAATGAGGACTCATGTATGGAATCATGATTTTGGGTCTCCAGCATCATGTCAAAGAAAAATGCTTATTGATATTTGGAATAAAAAGAGAAACAGGCCAGGTGTGGCAGCTCACGCCTATTTCTTTTTGCATTGCAAATATAAATAAGCAATTTTTGGAACTTTGGGAGGCCAAGGTGGGTGGATGCCTTGAGCCTGGAGGATGGAGACCAGCCTGGACAACCTGGTGAAACCCCGTCTCTACTAAAAATATAAAAATTAGCCCTGTGTAGTGGCATCTGTCTACACTCTTAGCTACTCAGGAGGCTGAGGCAGAAAGATGGATGAAGGATGGATGGAGCCCAAGAGGTGAAGGTGGCAGTGAGCTGAGATTGCACCTCTGCACTCCAGCCTAGGGGGTAGAGCAAGACCCTTTCTCAAAAAAAAAAAAAAAGAAAGAAAGAAAGAAAAAGAGAGAGAGAGAAACAGAGGTAGAGTTGTGGTGTAGGAAGTTAACCTTGGCTTGAGGATATAAAATGGACAGATACAGGTGATATGAGAAAGCCAGGTGATCAAATGATTAATCAGAATGTCTGTGCCAATGTTTAGATGAGGGCTGGAACCAGAGTCCAGCAGTGGAAGCAGAGGAGGGGAGAGATACACCAGGTATGAATTTCAGACCTTACCTTGAAGGTCCTGGTACCTATTGGATCTGGGCTGAGAGGAAAAGAAGATAAAATCACCCCTGTGGTTTCCTGCTTGGCCAACTGGGAGGAGAGTGGAGCCATTACTAGGAAATTGAGGATGGGCATAAATGATGAATTTCATTGAAAAACTCTTATCAGATATCATCAAAAGCAGATAGCAACGCTGAAAATGAGTTAGCCACCGATGAACTAACATCCCAGATGTCTAGTAGACGTCTAGCCAAGGGCAGTGGATATAACATCCATATCTTCAGGCTTCTCTGAAATCCACAGGAAGTGACGCTGCCAGTAAAGTTGTCAGCTGGAATTAGCCCCAAAATGAACACCATGCTACATGGAGCTCAGATAAATACTCTACACTCATTTGTGCTTTATAATCTGCATACAGCCCACAGCTTGCTTCTTTCCTTTTACAGCTATCTTGTAAGGTAGGTATTTTGAGTCCCACTTTATTGGTGAGGAAACTGAGACTCGGATAAGTTAAAGGACAGATCTAAGGTCAGGCTTCTAGTAAGGCTCAAACCTGCCCACCTCACCTCAAGCCTTGTACTCTGTACCCCAGGTGCAGGACCGGCTGTTTAGAATCAACTTTTCTGAGAAAGAGTAAGAATAAGCCAGTTTAACTGAAATTGGCAACAAAGGCCAAATAATTGTAAGAGTGAAATTCAGGTGAAAAACTCAGGGCTGGAGAAATTCCTTCCTGGGGTACAGGCGGGACCATTTACTCTCCTAATGCCTGTGCCATGTTTTGTCTACTCCCAGCCCCTTCCCATAGTCAGGCACCTCCAAGAAGGGCCTGCAGTGGGAGGAGCCAGGGAAGAGGCTGCTGGGAAGACGTGGTAACAGCCTGAGAGTGGAATTTTCTGTTTGTATTTCCCCCTCTTCTCCCTTCTCTACTTCTCCTTTGTTGCCACCTTTAGACAGACTGGCTCAAAGAAATTGCTATTTCAAAGCGGAAGAAGTCCAAAGTGGCGAGAAAAGCACTGTTCGCAAACAAGTTTGCAGGGATAAAGAGGCACCAGGAAAGGGGACTTTGTTGATGGAGCTATAGCTTCCTCCTTCTAGAAGATGCTAGACTAACTACTGCTTAAGCACACAAATGCTGCACTAGACTGCGTGTGTTCAAATCCAGATTTACCATATTCTAACTGTGGAACCTTGAACAAGTTAATTAACCTCTCTCTGACTGTCTCCTCATCTGTAAGAAAGGAAGATGATAAAAAACCGATCTCATAGGGTGGTTATGAGGAGCAAATGAGTCAACACATGCAAAATGTTTAGCACAGTGCCTGACACAGAAAGAACACTGAATAGATTCTCTGTTTTTATCTTCATGCAGGCCCCCACTCATTCATTATACCTTCTGAATTTTCACCATAGGTGAACGGTTCCCTTAGGCTGAGCATTATTTTTTTTTCCGGTATCAGGTGTTAGAGCGCGAATATTGGTGAGATATAAAGATTACAAACATTTAATATTGGTCGTATGTTAATATTTGTTTATCAAAGACACCATTAAAACAGAAGGTGGAGGAAATGGGACTTTTGAAGAGGCCACTCTTCTCTGGGAGAGTGAAAGAAGAGATTGTTGGGTGTGGTCTCTGAGTGCTGTCAAGTGGGAGCTTTTCTGTGGGCAGGGGAGGACCCTCTGGGCAGCCAAAGCCCACATGTAGACACACAGTCCCCCCAATCCCCTGGGTTGGGGAGGTGGACAAGGAATCGGTTTGGGGCACACAGAGAGGCAAAGAGAGAGACTGAAGACCCACTTTGCCAAGCATCAACCCAATGGCCAAGTGATGGAGCCTCTGGAAGGAAGCTCTGGCCTGAGCGCTGCTATACATTGATCAGATGGCATTGGTGAGTAACTTTATGTTTCTAGACCTTGATGGGTTCATTGTCCAGTTAGATGTGATCCATTTTGTACCTTCCTCATGGGGTTTTTTTGCACAGGAGTTGCTACAGCAAATTCTGCCATCAATTTCTTTGGGGTATTGAGCAACAGAGAGAAATGTTTTTTTTTTGTTGTTGTTGTTGTTGTTGTTTTTTTAAAGCCATTTTTAAGAAATCTAAATGAGGCATGTCCGACCTCATACTGCCTCTTACTCTGTCTCTGCTTTGTACTGTGCACTTGAGCACACTCTCTCTCTCTCACTGATGCCCTCTGTCTCTCCTATTCTCTCTCTTTCTCATTCATTCACTGACTTTCTCATTCTCTCTCCTCCTCATTTTTTTCTCTCTCTTTCTGACACACACACACACCCCACACACAAACACTTACACACTCATCTTTACCTTCGTTCCCTTTTATTTTCCCTTCACTAAAAATCCTAAGGAGGCTTCCAAACAAAACAAAGTCCAGCGCAGTCTAGAGAGGCAGGACCCACTGGTGAGGTCTTTAGGTAATGGTGTCCTTTGTGAATGTTGCAAAGCAATCGCCAAGACAAAAAGCTTCAGACATAAAAGAGTTATAGACAAGAAAGAGAACAGATGTGGGATTTTCTTAATAGAAGAAAAGAGGCCTGGAGGCTGAGGCGGCTGCCTGTCAAGTTCTGGGTCAGGGCCAGAATCCAGTCTCTGGACACCCCATTCAGTATATTTCACACTATGACATTTTATACTCTTTAATGTTTCCTTTTTGATGACTTTGGATGTGGGATTGGCTTAGATTTGGCTACAACTTTCCGTAACTTGCTAGACAAGGTCCACCTCCCCACACAGCAGGGTTTAAGCTGGAGCCACACAACTATGACTCAAGTTTACTTACTAGAAAATTCCTCCCTCAGTCCTGGTCTGAAGGCCTTGTCCAAGGCCCTGATCTCCTTCAGCTCCTTCTCCTCCACCAACAGGCAGATGATCCTCTGACCCAGAAACCCTCCTGCTCCTGTCACAAGGCAGCTCCAGCCTGTCATGGCCAATCCAAGGTAGCAGGAAACACTCGCCAGGAAACAGAAGATGCTGGGGAGAAGATATTACTCTATGGTGACCCTAGAGAGGGCTAAAAAGGGAGATCAGATATTTATACACTCACACAGATGCCTTTTTACTTCCACCCAATTTTTTTTTTGCAAAAATTCCATATCCCACCATTGCCAGAAGTAGCTGCAAGAAAATGAAAAAGCTCTAACCATTAGTTAGATTATTAATAGCTGAAGAGAGTAGTCAGGGTGCTGGTCGCCTCATCCTTTGAGGCAAGCCTGGAGCTTTGTGCACTGTGGCTTCTGGCTCAGTCATTATCACCATGAACTCCTGCCACAAACTCATTGCTCTCTGCTCCTTCAGGATCCCTTTACTTAGAAGAACAGTGACCTTTAAGTTTTATCTCCCAGGAACAGAATGAGAAGTTTAATCTCCCAGGAACAGAAAGAGAAATTCAAAGCTGCAGTGTGATGAAGAGTCTTGGGTTTAGACTTAACAGGACACTGGTCAGTTGATACCAGCTCTCTGGGATCTGCAACCTGTGAAGTTAAAGTAGACTGGGAGAACTCTTCAAGTGCAATGTGAACTCTGACCTTGTGCAGTAAATACATTTGGGAGGAAATCCACATTAGCCCATTATCTCCTCTCTCAGACTATCATTTGAGATGTTGCTCCTGTCTTGCAAGGTTTAGAAATGTTGACAGCTCCAATCACTAAGTTTTATGTGAGGTGACTTACTCTCCTACCCAATATATCCAAAACCTCAATTGCAGTTTACCCCTGGAGAGCTTTGGATTCCTAGACAAAGAACATCATTGGAGGGAAGCTATCTAGTGATAACCACTTAATTATATAGCCTGTACCACAAGAGTGGGGATTTCTGGTTGTATGACCCAATGACTCTTACCATAGATGTTTGAACTTATCCTGTATTTTTGGCTGCAAAACCATTCTCAGCAAATTCCTTAACTGAATATGCTGTGAATGCTTCTGTAGTCTATGCCTGACAACTGCCCAATATCACTACCATAAGCTCCCCAAAACACTTTCCTCTATTTAAAAAAATCAAAGTGTAATTTATATGCATTAAAATGCCCAGATCTTAAGTGTTCAGTAACAATGAACTTTGACAGTTATATATGCCCATGTAAGTACCACTCAACGAAGATATAGACCATTTCCTTCCCTCCATAAAGGTGTTTTCGAACTGTCCCCTGTTATTTTCCTGCCCTTTGCACAATCAATCTCAGAGGCAACTACTTTCTGATTTTTATTCCCACGGAATTCCCATTTTCTATTTCAATTTCCTATATTTTCATAATTTATTCTTCTAAGATCTCTGTGGTTCTGGATATATGTTTAAATATAAAATAATTTTAAAATTTAGTTTTGTGCGTGGTGTAAAGAAAAATTAACTATTGATTTTCTCTATTGTTTGTTCATTTTTTATTTCATGATTTTCATTATTTTCATAATTGGCTTACATTTATTAACTTTGGGTTTACTTTACTCTTCTTTTTCAGTATTCTTTTGATGAAAGCATAGATAGTTGACTTTACTCCTTCGCTCATTTCCACTACAGGCATTGAAAGTTGTCAATTTCTCTCTAAGCACTATGTCAGCTGCGTCCGACATTTTGAGGCACTGGGTCATCATCACTCAGTTAATGAACTTTTTCTTGTGAATTCGTCTATGATCAAAGTGTTATTCAACATATGCTGCTTGTTTTCTAGGATTGGGAGTCTTCTAGATATCTTATTGTTATGGATTTCTAATTAAATCCTATTGTGGCCAGAGCATATACTCTGTATGATTTTGATCCTTGGATATATTTTGAGACTTGTTTTATGGTCCAGTATATGGTCTATGTTGGTGAAATGCCATAAGCACTTGAAAATAATGCTTTCTGAAGTTGTTGGAAGTAATACTCTACAAATGATTTGGTTTGAAACTCCACCCTGGGTCTTGCCCTCCTCCCACATTGTAGACATTCATCTAATATTTGGAACCTAACTACCAGTGCTTCAAACCCACTTGCCTAGAAAGGTTGACTCTGTGCTGCAAGATGTAGCAGCTTGTTCTCTGAAGCCGGCAGAACTAGCTACAGGCCCTGGGTCTTGCTGAGACTTGTGGAGCACTATCTGAGGCCAACCAGGTGCATCACATGCCTTTGCCTGCTGTAGCAGATGCTGGAGTACACCTGAGGTAGCCCTCATCTCCTTCAGGACAGTATCGCCCATTCCCTCAGCTGTTGAGAGTTCTGGAGGCTGATAGATTTCAACCAGTGTCTCTCTTGGAGTCTCTGAGTGGAACCAATAAATATAAGCTTTCTTTAAACCAATAAATATCTCGCTTTCTTTAGGAACATGAGAAATAAAACAAAGGACAAGACTGATGTGAGCCAAATTACCAACTTTCTTTTATTTTTAAACAACTTTACTGAGGCATAATTGATATATCATAACATTCACCTGTTTTAAGGCACAGTTCAATTATTTTTAGTAACATTTTAGAATTGTGTGACCATCATCACAGTCCTGTTTGGAACATTTCTATCATTCCTAAGGAATCCGTCCTGCTCATCAGTTGCCACCCCTTATTCCAAACCCCCCAGCTCTAGGAAGCCCATAACTGATTTTCTGACTCCACAAATTTGATTTTCTGGACACCATATAAATGGAATCATATAATATGTGGTCCTTTGTATCCATCTTCCTTCACTTAGCTTAATATACTTTTATGGTTCATCTATGTTGTAGCACGTATCAATATTTTGTTCCTTTTAGGTGCCAAATCCCATTAAATTGTATGGATGGCTCCCATTAGTTTATTCACTTATCAGTTGATAGATATTCAAGGTGCTTCTACTTTTTGGACTATTATGAATAAAACTGATATAAATATTCACATTCACATGTCGTGTTGACATACATTTTTATTTCTTTGCGGTAGACAGGTAGGAGTGACACTGCTAAGTCATATGGTAAATGTATCTTTAATGTTTTAAGAAACTGCCAAATTGTTTTCCGGTGTGGCTGTCTGTCCCCTCAACAATGCCTGAGTATTTCAATTTTTCACATCATTGTTTTTTCACTTCCTCCCATTGTCACTGTCTTTCTTTTTTATTTTAGCATTCTAGTGGGTAAGAAATGGTATCACATTGTGGTTTTGATTTGCATTTCCCTGCTGACTGATGATGCTGGCCATCTTTTCATGTGCTTTATTGGTCATTCCTATACCTTTTCGATGAAATGCTATTCAAATATCTTCCCCATTTTAAAACTGGGTTATTTATCTTTTTGCTGTTTAATTGTAAGTGTATTTTATATTCTGGATACAAGTCTTTATCAAATATGTGATTTGAAATTGTTTTCCTAGTCCGTAGCTTATCTTTTCATTTTCTTATTGATGTCTTTCAAAATGCAAACATTTTTAGTTTTGATCATGTCTCATTTTTAAACTTTTTCCCTTTTACCAGGAAAAGTTGGGGTTTTGCCTAATTCAAGATCATGAATATGTTAATCTGTGCTTTCTTCTAAGATGTGCATAATTTAGCCCTTACATTTAGACCTATAATCCATTTTGAGGGAATTTTTGCTTATGTGTAAGTTAATGGCCTAAATTCTTATGGTCACTTGATTTTAACAAAAGTAAATTCAATGAAGGAAAAGGATAGTCTTTTAAACAAGTGATACTGAGACAACTGAATTGTCTACATGCTCAGGGAATTTCAGCATGCTGTGTAAAGTGAGGCCCATCTGAGCCATACCCTATTGGCATCAGAGTTTTTGAAGACTTTCTTGATATGATAACCATGTGTTAAATAATATGCTGTAGCTAGTTCTCTCTTCCTGTTCCACAGGTAGCCACATTGTCCTGTTTTGCTCCAGCCACATCCCTGAGACAACATGGTGAAGCTGAGGGCCTGAATAAACGGATTTGGCTGTATTGGGTGTCTGGTCACCAGGGCTACTTTTAACTCTGGTAAAGTGGATATTGTCGCCATCAATGACCCCTTAATTTAGCTCAACTACATGGCCTACATGTTCCAGTGTGATTCCACCCATGGCAAATTCCATGGCACCGTCAGGGCTGAGAATGGGAAGCTTGTCATCAATGGAAAGCTAGATCCTACCAAAATCAAATATGGCAATGCTGTCACTGAGTACCTTGTGGAGTCCATCAGTGTCTTCACTACCACGGAGAAGTTGGGGCTCACTTCCAGAGGTGAGTCAAAAGGGCCATCATCTCTGCCCCCAGTGCTAACGTCCCCAGGTTTCTGATGGATGTGAACCATGAGAAGTATGACAACAGGTTCAAGATCGTCAGCAATGACTCCTGTCCGACCAACTGCTGAGCACCCCTGTCCAAGGTCATCCATGACAATTTTGGTATCGTGGAAGGACTCGTGACCACAGAATACGCCATCACTGCCAGTCAGAAGACTTTGGATGGTCCCTCTGGGAAGCTGTGGCATGACGGTCACCAGTCTCTCCAGAACATCACCCCTGCCTCTACTGGTGCTGCCAAGGCTGTGGGTGAGGTCATCCTTGCCTAAATGCAAGGATCCTATGAATCCCCTATGGAAATAAATCTTCTGGAAGCACTTTCCTTTCTTATGGTACTCTGCACATTTACTGTGCACAGCACCTAACATGTCTCATATTTTATCTCCCCCGCTGGACCACTAAACTGGGAGCAGAAATGGCAAATCAGAAGTGTTAGGCCTGGGTCCAGCCTGCAGACTTGTTTTGTTAGTTTGCATGCTTTTCTCCCCACAAAGTTTAATTTATTTAAAAAATTATAACCTATGACACACACACAGAAAATATGAGAATATGGTATAATAATGTGTATTTGGGACATATCACTAAGAACGAACAGATTTGCTGCTGACACCTGTCCACCCACTTTTTAAGGTATAAAATATTACACATACAGTTTGAACACTACCCCACGCATCCCCCCTCCCGCAGCAGGTCTTCACACTGCTTTTTCCAATTTACAGTTAGTCATTAATATTTAGAAATCAAGAGATTTCACATAAGAGTTGGCCTCTGGCCACTTTCCTGCCAGTTCTCACCAGGCCGTCGTGGGCTCCACGCCCCACCCCAGTCCTTGGACCCTGACTATTGGGTCTGTGACTGACTCTTGCACCTGAGCTCCCTCATCTGGCCTCTGTACACGCTTCCTAGAAGGTGGGGGCAGGGAGCTCCTCATGCCCCTCATCATCCTCTGCACCACTGCCCAGGCTGTGCTCCCTGCCTGGATCCAGAAATCCAAGTCCTCATTCAAGCCCCATGGGCTCCTGTGGCTTTTCCCAGTGACTTCAGCTTAGCTCCATTCTCTGTACTCATATACACCTCGTCCTTAGGCCAGTGGCTGAGTACTTGCCTGAGGGTTCATTCATTCCCTTGCCAGGTACCCTGCAGAGCCACCTAGGAGGAGAAAAAGACCCAAAAGTCCCCACCAGGTCAGATTTCCTTGTTCTTCCCTCTGAGCCTTTGATGTCCCCGTGTGGTGCATTGCATGAGGTGCAGCGGAGCTTGGTGCAGGAGCTCTGCCCACCTGGCACCCTCAGGTATAAGAAGGGATGGCACATTTTGTTGGCTACAACACTCCAAGGCCTTTTTGCTTGTTCAGTTGAGACTGCTGGCCCATCCAATTCCCTCGTCTCTTTCTTCGAACACCCCTTGCTGCCCGTTGGAGATATGTCCTTTTCCTTCCCTTCCCTGTGAAAATTGCTCTGGTGGTTTTATAGGTGTAGGGTTTCACTAGGCTAAAATACAAGGGGGAAGAGCTCTTGCCCCAGATTCCACCACCCTCCTATCCTTCTCATGCTGTTTGTCATTAATATACGGATGGTGTGAATACCTTACAAGAGCTGGACAGATGCTGCTCTTCTATTTTGTGCAGTGGCCGGGGAAAAATGAGTGTTCCTTCCATTTTTCACCTTTCCCCACTGCCTGGGGTCACTCCGTCCTGATGCTGGTGCTGATCTTCTGTTCTTTGGGGTTTTGAAAGTGGTGGAAACTTGTTCATCTCGGCCAGAATGTTTTTCCTTTTTCCCTGCAGAACGAACACTGAAACTATCTCCTTTGCAGTAATCAAATTCAGCTGATTAACGATCTGTAAATTTTCTGTGTAAGAAAGAAGCCGTTTTGATGTTGGGTGTGACTCTCTTCATTGCCAGGTACAGAGGGAGACAGCTTTCCCTCCCCACACTCTGGACCCACAGCAACTTCCTCACCTGCTTCAGTTCACTTCTGTCCCTGATGCCCCTGACTGTGTGTGTGTGTGTGTGTGTGTGTGTGTGTGTGTGTGTGTGTGTGTGTTTAAACTATTGCTTCTTTGGTTGGTTAATGACTACATCATCATTGAAGTCCCCACATTTGTCTTGATTGGTCTCTTCTTCTCATGGAAATTGAGAAGAATGAGAGGGCCAGTGATTAAAGGGAGATAGAGGTAAGGAAAGAGGCTAAAGAAATGGAAGAATAAAGGAAGAAAGGATGTGATTTACAGAAGACAAGGAGAAATGAGAGAGAGGCAGTTAAATCTGGGGATGTGGGATAATAGACTTCCACTTCTTGGGCTGAATAGAAGGTACATTTTCGGGGAAGTTCATGCTTGTTCCCTTTACTTGCCCAGGAACCCATGGTGTGGCTTCATTGTGTAATTTTAAAGGGTAAAATGCAGGGTTATAAATGACCCGAATGGCCAACACACGTATAGCCAGGTGTGTTGTAGAGACCTTCAAGGAAATTAGCCCTGAAATTGGTGGAGGGTGGATGCATTTTTGCTTCTCTCTCCCCTGCTCAGGCCCATTTGGTAAGGCATGTAAATCCTTCCAGATGCCCCTCAGGGAATCTTCTGGGTTCTAGAGAGTCCCCCGCATGGGACTGAGCAAAAAGAGGTAAACCAAGTGAGCTGGGGCTCTCCCAAGAATCAGCACTCCCTGCTCCAGTGCTCTGCGGTACCACTGACAAGACCAGTTCAGGCTGTGTGATTCAGTGGAAAGATAAGGACTTTCAAGGCCGACTCCCTGGTAGAAGGCTTAGTCACTAATCAGTGTGACTGTGAACAAGTTTCCTCACTGATAAAATGAGAATAGTCACCCTCACCTCATAGGTTTGTGAAAGAAAATTAAATTTTGGGATCCCACACTCATTTAGCCAAAGGGAAAAGTCAAGCTGGGAACTGGGTCATGCAAACCTGCCTCTCCCTTTTGGTGCCTAAATAAGATGGCTACAAGATGAAAAGCCACATCCCCGCCCCCCTTCCCCATCCCATATTTTGCCCACAAGAAAATTTCTGGTTAGCTGTTAAAACTTCATCATGGCAATGCAAATTGGTAACTTATCTTTACAGGGGCAGTCACCGGGGCTGCCAGACACAAATGCATATCTGGTTGTTCCCCTACCCAGTGTTTTCCATCTTACCTTATGTACAATGCAGATTCCCTGCATTTTCCCTCTGCCTTTTTTTTTTTTTTTTTTTTCTGAGACGGAGTCTCGCTCTGTCGCCCAGGCTGGAGTGCAGTGGCGTGATCTCGGCTCACTGCAAGCTCCGCCTCCCAGGTTCATGCCGTTCTCCCGCCTCAGCCTCCCGAGCAGCTGGGATTACAGGTGCCCACCACATGCCCGGCTAGGTTTTTTTTTGTATTTTTAGTAGAGACGGGGTTTCACTGTGTTAGCCAGGATGGTCTCGATCTCCTGACCTCGTGATCCGCCTGCCTCGGCCTCCCTCTGCCTCTTTTATGTCATCTTATATAAAAAATGCAGATTCACTGAGCCAGACAAGGGCATGATGGCTATTTTTCCCTACCCTACCCTTACATAAAAACTGTGTGCTTCTCAATATCCCACTCTTTCCCCCTTTGAATTTGGAGCACTCAAAATCGTCTACAGAGAAAGGCATAGACCTGTCTCCTGGGTCTGTCCTTAACTTTGACAAACGAACCTGCTAAAACGATTCAGACTTGTCTCATCATTTTCCTCAATTGACATCTGGTAACCATGGAGGGATCCTGAGTGAAAGTGACCTGACCTGTGGAAATTTGCCTCCCGGTGCTTGGTACCTGCTTGGGCACTTTATATCCCAAACTGACAGGATGATTTACCAAAGTCAGGGAACTCTTTCCTGCTGGGATCCCTTCCAATATTTTTCAGTTAGGGGGTCAGAGGTTTATTTGCTGTTAAAACAACTCCCCTTTTTTTGTGGTCGTTTTTCTACTTGCTTCCATCAAGGAAGGTGAGCTCATCTGCATCTGCATCAGTGGAGCGTGGTCTGCAGCTTGGAATCCATCACTAGGTATGAAACTGGTTTGGGGTTGTGTCTTATCAATTCTTTTAAATGACTAAACTTAACATTAACAACCAGCTGGTGTTAATTTCCTGCTCACACTTTGAGCGCTCAGTGTGATCACTGTTAGTTTTGCTTAACTGTTTTGTTTTTTTTTTGTGTGTGTGTGTGTGTGTGTGTGTGTATTTCAGTCCTTTCTCCTGTCGGATATGACCAACTCTGAACCCTCTGGCTCATGAGTGTGGAATCTTCCACTATGAAGAAATAGAGCACCTTGCTCCCCTCAGCCTTTCGAGGCATTCTCAGGTGACTGAGAATCATGTGAGGGTGTCTTGAAAGAAATGCTCCCTAAGATGTGCAGTGGCTCTAAATAGGTTTCCCTCTCAGAAGAACATACTTAGGGTCTAATCTCAGCCGGCAGGTGCATATAAGGAAGTGATCCCTCCTGCACCTTGAGCCCCTGACACATTGTGCCAGGTAGCCATGACACAGGTGGACCAAACTGGGTCAGGGGGTAATGGCTCTGAAAAGCTAGGTCTGCATGCAACACATTTTGTGCCCGACACATGTCCCAGCTTGGTCAAATTTAAAGATGAACTCTAAATTATGGTGAACGAGACCTCTAAGATCCCAGCAGCTGCGAAACATAAAGTTCCCCCTTTAGGAACTCTAGCTAGGTATATGCAAAATACTTATGGCAAATCA